ACACACAAAGAACTTTGTTTTGATCTTTTATTGAAAACTTTCAAATTCATCAGTCATGATAAATTTGCCTTTTGGCAACAAAAAAAAATGAATAAAATGTCTTAATTATTACTTCATATTAAATGTTATTAGAAATTGTTAAATGTCAACGAGGAGAGAGACCTCCTGAATATATTTAGCACCCCAATTTCATCGTTTACCGATATTATAGAAATTATCATTTATTTTTATTTTTGTTATAAATAAAAAAGAGGAGAATATTTACATGTATTATTTCCTCGTTATTTGCCACTGGAACCGTGGATGACATAATTAAGAGCATGCTCTAAGTACGATCAATTTTTAAACCGAGGCAGGCTACTGACAGATAAGTTGATGATAAAGGGATTTCAACATTAAAGTCAATTCTATGGTCGTTATAATAACCTTTTTGGCAAATATAACTTACCATTAGGTAGTATTTTGACTGACAAATTTCATACCAATTGTTAGGCATTTGTTTTTATACTAAATTTGACAAAGGAATGTTATGCCTCCCTGATGAATACATATAGGGCTCATAGTGGGTGTGATCAGTCGACAGGGGATGCTTACTCTACTTATGCACCTGATCTCACCTCTGAAATTTCCGGGGGTCCGTGTTTTATGTCCTGTTTACAGATTTGTATTGTTTGTGGGTGGTTTTTGTTTTTGTTTTTTTTTTTTTAGATCAATCACTGTTCGTTTTCTTCACCTTTTTCATTATATGATCCTCCGGTATTATCAACATCATATGTTAATCTAAGTATTAACAAAGAATTTATGAGTGGTTTAATCCAGTCGTGAATACCTAAATAATTACTAAATACTCCCTAGATATTGACTCAAAAACTATGATACATGCCTCTCTAAATTATAAAGATTCTACTGTAATGTACATAATTACTTATAGGTACATGATTTATTAGCTATAAGGGAAACACGTCGTACGATTCAATAAATATTTATCAAACATATATATGCAAAATTGATTGGACATTCAAATCTTTGTTCTTATTTTCATCTCTTTCCCCCCTCTGGCATAATATTTTAATGTAGAGATCATAATTCACACTGTGCTTTTGAAACAAACAACGTTAACCTGTTGACCTTTACAACCTCTTTACATTTTAAAATCCACTAAAGGAATTCAAATTCATCTAAATATTTACTCCATAACTTGCAGGCGTTTAAACTAATATTTCATACGCCTTCTACACATTTCTGTCATCCATGTAACTTATTACCTACGCAATTTCCTTATCAGGTTAGGATAACTATCTCCAAAAAAGTCAACATTAATTTCAGGTTACCTCAAATTGATGGAATAACAGTTTGTAACTTCGACAAAAGTTAAATGCTTTACCTTAACAGTCATTAACTTTGTTCAAAAAAGCAACGTATTTATGTTTTGTTTTGTTTTATAGCTTTTGTCTATTTTATGCAGGGTTTAAGAATGTACCATATCTTTACACGTACGAGGGGTTATCAAAAAGTTCGTGGACTAGCGCCATAAAATTAAAACCGCTTTAGGTACATCAATGAATTTTTACACATTTAATTAGCATCATCTTTTCTACCTATAGAATAAACCATAAATCATCACTTTAATTTTTTAATAAATTGTTAATGTTTTTGCAAGTAATGGTATGTCCAGGCGGCGCAACCTCAAATATGACGTTTTTTTTTTTTACCTGAGTGTATTTTTAGATATGAGCATTTGTCATCAAAATATATTGTTAATTTGGGCATGAGGTACAATTGTTAAAATTTGCAATTTTTACCCCATTCTGTAAGTTCTATGAAATTTTATCGTAAATTTTATATGGAGTGTCCAGACAATTATGGGCTTGAAAATGATGTCAAAAATGGGGAGGGTTTCTTTTTCCAACTTTCTATAAGGTTTCGCTCCTGAAAAAACTGGTATAGACCTAAGGAATGTTTAAACGGGCTATAGAAAAATAAAATGCATCGAGAGTACTTGTTTTTAAATGCCTAAAATGATTCAGAGAAATCAAACATGCACAGTTAGTGTCCATTTGTAGTCAGGGTGTCAAAAGTCAGTCACGTCGAAAAGTGACGTTGATCATGTGTGGTAGAAATTGAACTCCAATAATCTAAGTATTCTGACATAATCAAATGAGGATCTTTCCCTATGTATAGATCGATTTACAATATCATATGCATTGAAAGCAGCTGTTCATGACATTGTAAAGTCATATAAACAAGACGGGCTTAAGTCCTTACTGAACTCCAGGTAATCTCATCAAGATAAGTGTATGAGGTAGAGAGAAAGCGTACATTGAGAAACAATGACGTTTGTCGGACGTCATGAAACTAAACGGCGACAGCGCCGGGTGATCATATAATGTCTTTTTTATTTTAGAATAATTTGGCAAATAATCAACGTATCAAGCTAAAATTTTCAACATTTCATAAACTTTTGCTGGTTTATGTTCCTTATAAATTTTGTAAGCATAGACTACATAGTATTAATTTTATCGCATCAGTCCACGAACTTTTTGATAACCCCTCGTTTTGAGGGTGTTGAGTTTGCTATAATTGAATACACTGTATTGAAGGTTACTGATATCTTTCTACGCATCACAAAATGGCTTAAATTACTTCTCGCTAAAATTAAATACTGATTTTTTTAATCTGCTTATTTAATTTTTTAAATTTGCGGTTCGCTAAAAATTCCACTTATACGGTAGTTCAAAACAAAGAGCTGTTTCCATATGCTTAATGTGTGGCTGAATTGAATCAATTTAATCAATATTCTATGAATTTATGAATTATAGTTTTTTTTTTCCCTATTCCCTTTTTATTGACACAACTTACCTTTGCCGCCTTTAATTCTGCACTGTCATTCTCAATCCTAATATTTCTCTGAATTCTGCAGCACAGTTGCAAAACTATGTGCATAAGAGTGCTCAATGGATTAAACGGTTGGTCAATGGATAAAAATATTCGATTCAAGTTTATCACGTCCGGGAAATTATCCGTTTTTTTTTTTTTTTTTTTTTTTTTTTTTTGAATATTAAGTTTTTTGACGAAATAAAAATCAGATTTTTGTCTAAATAACCCGAAATTTATGATGACTTGTTTAAATAGAAAAGTATAATAACAAAACTAACTATGATGTCTAAAATATTTTATAAAATAACTAGTTCTCCAACTAATGCCCTGTTCACACGGAGAGTTTAATTCGCAGTAAATTAATGCGAAGTAAAATAATGCAAATTAAATTGCGTTCACACGACAGCTAATGCGAAATATTTACATTTGCAAATGTTTTCTTTTATATAACACTATTAAAAGCAACGCATATCTATATAAGAAATAAGGTATCATTTTTAAACATCTATCGGGATATAAATACGGGTTGGTCACGTGATCAAATTCCATAAAGCCCGAAGGGCTTTATGGTAAATTTGATCTCGTACCAACTCGTACCAACCCGGGTTGGTCACGTGATCAAATTCCATAAAGCCCGAAGGGCTTTATGGTAAATTTGATCTCGTACCAACCCGTATTTATAGCCCGATAGATGTTTTAAAATGATACCTTATTACTTAAATTTACATTTGTGACTAATTCATATTTGATATTGGCCTGATTATAATCTTTAACGCGTAAAACGTTTTATTTTTCAAACCTAACGGCACGTGTTTGATCCACTGAATTGCGCGTCGACCCTTTATGACGTCACTGAGAAATTACGTCGAACGTTTATGACGCGAGGAACCCGTGTTTAAACGGATATAGATACGCGTTGCTTTTAATAGTGTTATATAAAAGAAAACATTTGCAAATGTAAATATTTCGCATTAGCTGTCGTGTGACAAAATAAAACTAGCTGTGAGCAGAAACTTGCATTACTATATATTTACATTTGCTATAAATACGGGTTGGTACGAGATCAAATTTACCATAAAGACCTTCGTGATCTTGTGACCAACCCGTATTTATATCCCGATAGATGTTTAAAAATCATACCTTATTCCTTAAGTAAACTAATGCGAATTAAAATTTTATTTCTACAGTAAGGCTATTTAGTAAGGCTATTATGACGTCATTTTCAAATCACGTCACTTTATGCGGAGCAGACCCATATGACATCCTGTCATAGTGTCTATACAAATTTCAGTGATTAACATAATTTTTCTTTGTTTTCCATTAGAAAATATCATAAGTACCTATATCTGACCACCGACAGGTGGCATGTGACTTAATTGTGCCATTACGCATGCGTCAAAATTTAATTCGAATTAGCTTCGCTTAGCGTTCACACGGAGCTAATGCAAAGTAATTTAATGCGCAGTAAATTAATTCGAATTAAACTAATTCGCATTAAATTCCCTGTGTGAACGCGGTTCAAATTTTTAAAATTCGCAGTAACCTACGCTTAATTAAGAAATAATGTATCATTTTTAAACATCTATCGGGATATAAATACGGGTTGGTCACGAGATCAAATTCCATAAAGCCCGAAGGGCTTTATGGTAAATTTGATCTCGTACCAACCTGTATTTATATCCAATAGATGTTTTAAAATGATACATTATTACTTATATTTACATTTGTGACTTATTCATATTTTATGTTTTCCTGATTATAATCTTTAACGCATGAAATGTTTTATTTTTCAAACCCAACGGCACGTATTTGATCCGTTGATTGCGCGTCGACCCTTTATGACGTCACTGAGAAATTACGTCGAACGTTTATGACGCGAGGAACCCGTGTTTATACGGATATAGATACGCATTGCTTTTAATAGTGTTATATAAAAGAAAACATTTGCAAATGTAAATATTTCGAATTAAACTCTCCATGTGAACAGGGCATAAAGAAAGAAAGAAAATTATTCTCTTCTGAGAGAAAACACCTCCAGATGATTATTATTAAGAACCAACAAAAGAAGGTTCTACAAACCCACAAAAATCATCTTATGATATTTGTGCTTTGGTGAAACAGATTTAATCTCCAGAATGCACTGATATTAATTCCGAAGTTTCAGATGTAGTACTTGTAAGTCTCTCAGAGCGTTTTGTATGGTCAGTAGGTGACAAATGCCCTACTAAAAACGAAGGTAGGAAAGTATGAACTCCAGTTGTCGTATGCTGCTTTTCCTTTTTCTTCGCTACATGGTAGGCTGCTACAAAAGTATTTGAAATCAAGATGTGTTTGTGAAACACTGATGCACCAACCGTTCAAAAGTTATGGCCAAGGCTAAAGTTTTTCAAAAATAGGTCAAACTCCAAGGTCAAAGGGTCAAAGTTGTTGGTATTCAAAGAAAGGTCTTGTCACAAGGATTACATATGTGAAGTATGAAAGCTGAAGTACCAATCGTTCAAAAGTTATGGCCAATGTTAAAGTTTTTCAAAAGTAGGTCAAACTCCAATGTCAAGGTCAAAGGGTCAAAGTTTTTGGTATCCAAAGGAAGGACTTGTCACAAGGATTACACATGTGAAGTATGAAAGCCTTAGCACCAATTGTTCAAAAGTTATGGCCAAGGTTAAAGTTGGATAAAATTTTGCAAAACTGGGTCAAACTCCAAGGTCAAGGTCAAAAGGTCAAATATGGTGGTACCCAAAGAAAGGTCTTGTCACAAGGAATACACATGTGAAATATGAAAGCCATAGCTTCAACCAATCAAAAGTTATGGGCAATGTTAAAGTTTTTGCGGACAAACAGAAAAACAGACAGTCTGACAGACACACGGAGGGACAGGGCAAAAACTATATACCCCCGAATCTTCGATACGGGGGGCATAATAAAGAAGAATGAAAAAACCTTTATGAAATACAAAAATCCGGTGTTTATCATACCTATTTGTGCATCTATCTCAGTTTCTGGAATGCCAGTCATTGATGCTAGTTCTCTTAAGGACTGTACACAATCCTAAAATTAAAATATGATATTCTTTATACTGAATTTGTAGGTTTCATTTAAATAAAATTTCAGTACTCATTTTTAACGTACAACTATTCAATCAAAATTCATTCATGAACATAATACGTAGACAACGATGTTAAGTTTTATAATTTGAATATCATATGTATTTATGGAGTTTTTATTTAAATATCAAGCTAACTTGCAGAGTTTCTATGTCACATTTGCAGGCCTTTAATTCTTGTGTCACAGTTTTCTTCTGTTTGTAAAGTAATTTCATTCTAAAATGGGCGTGGTCTGTCACAGCAACTATAAGACCTTAAAGAGAGAAGAATATTTATTTGATTTTCACAAATAAAACCAACTAATACTAAAACAGACTTACACTGGTGAAAACAATTAATATTAGACAAAAAGAATACAGAAAGAATTTTCTATTGCCTGTGATTACGATTTTTTGTTTTCTATTCCCAAACCTTTGATGAGATCATAGAAGTTCAAAAGCAAGTTTGCTAAGAAAAAAAATCAAGTTTGATAAGGAAAAAAAATCCCATTCAATCACAAACCAGGGGAAATTTACTCACTGTTCACGACTCGTATGATTCTCCATGGAACAAGAATAATCAAAATGACAAGGAATTTCTGGACTTTGAATGCATGGACTCCTTTGATGAAAACAAGGTCCAAAATGAAAGAAAAGATCACTACCATAGCATCAAACACCTATATCACAAAATGGTTAGAATTAAAGCATTAATATACTTTATTTAGATTTTCTGTAACTAGGAAGGCGAAAGCTGACAACTTTGTTAGAGGAAGAACTGGAGATTTTTCTTTCTCAGAATTAGTAGGTTGAGACCTCTGTTCTCATTTAAAACATTATCTACATTGTCCTATAGAGCATTGTCTTTAAAAAAAAGTGCCAGGTTATTCAGCGTTGCTTGATTTATTCAAAACTTTTCCGAGTGCTTTGCTTCATAGAAAACATTATTTTAAGAACAGTCAGTTCCAAAAACTTTTTTCAAATAAAAAAAATAATATATACACAAAAATACTCATTCATGCAACAATTTTTGGACTAAATTAACTCTGTATACACCAAACTGTTTGAGAGTTTGTCCTCTTTGCATCTAGACACCAGAAAGTAAAATACAGAAATATTTTATTTCCTTTTAGGTATTGTAAACAGTACTAGGTAAGCAAAAGAAGTATCAAAATTGTAAATTAAGTGACAATCAGTTCTATTTTAACTGTTCAGCAAGAAACATGCCATTGGATAAAAAAGCATTTAATTTTTTCAAGCAAACCTCAGTGCTGACCTATTTTTTGCTCGAAGTTATTCAGGTGAAATTCTGAGCGATGTCTTACATTTTTTTTTATTTTTATTAAAAGCCAATTTCAGTCCGTCCAAAGAAATTGTAGAGTTTTTGATAGACAATAATTTTGTCGAAGCAAATCAGGATGTCGAGAACCTTTAAAAGAATAACTCAAGTAAGAGTTGAAAAACGACGTTTATTCTACAAAAACCTGGTGCAAGGATTATGAAACTGACTTAGACTTAAGTCATATTTTCAACCACCCACCTGTACAATGTTTATTTATTTTCAACTTAATCTCCAATTTTGCAGATGACAGCACTCTGGTGATGCAATATTGATTTTTTTATTTGGTCTGTTCGTCTTTTACAACATTTCAGTACCACATAAAGATTCTGACTTAAGGTTAAAATGTTTCACGATCCCTGGTTCCCAAATCTCCTCTTTAATTTTATGCAGTAGCCAAATCATTTTTGTAAGATGAATGGTGGTGTCCTATAGATGTGTATTAAGGTTTCGGAATTTTCATTATCACCCTGGGGGTCAAATGGGGGTCGAAAAACAACGACTTTTTTTTCTTTTTTTACAAAACTCTGGTTCCCAGAACTCATACATTTTACACTAGTCATCTCATCTTTTGCAAAATGGCTAGGGGTGTTCAGTAGATATACCCTCAGGGGCGAATGGGATCAAAAAACGATGTTATTCATTGTACAAAAACCTGGTTCCCAAAAATCCTCTTATATTTTATGCAGTAGCCAAATCATCTTTGAGGATCATCAAATCATCATTGGGGATGTCCTGCAGAATTTTCATTTTGACCTTCGGGGCTAAATAAGGGTAAAAAAATGATGTTTTCAATTTCTCATTTGGGCCATTTTTAATGGAAAGTTTTTCTAACTACTGTAAAAGGATAGCTAGAGGTAGGATATATGTTGTTCATAAATCTACAACAATATTGTGCCAGATAAAGTACAAAAAGGCGAAAATTTGTCACAAAGAAGAGAGACAGAAACAGAATTGGTTTCTCTTCATGTTTAAAAATTGAAAAAAAAACAATATTGATAACAGAAAACGAATTTAGTTAGATGCGTATAAACATCTATGCACAATTCATACGAATTATAGAAATTCTATTGGTATATTTCCAACTAAGACTTAAAGCAAGAAGAATATTTCTTACCGGATAGATAGTACTGATCAGTTTAAAATATGCAAAAGACCCTACGTCTAAAATTAATCTTACCTCTATCTTTTTCTCAAAAAATTCTCTTCCACTGCAGAGAAATTTAAAAATGTTCTGAAATAAAGAAAAATATGTGGCTAACGTTTCACAAGGAATTGTTTTATAACACCCCTTACACCTTGTTGTAGAGATGAAAAAGATAATGCTGTCTGTGTTCTGTAAACCCACATCTTAAGAAGCTTACCTCAATAACCAATATGGCAAGAATAGATATGCTAAAGTAATGGAACAAATGGGCCAGCTTAACCTCTAATCCGTATTGCACAATGACACCATTTTCAAGTCCTATTAATGGTATAGTATTATTTGGTGAAGGCATTTCATTCACAACACTTCGTCTGAAAACACTGTGATTTGATGCTGGTAAATAATCGCTGTATACTGTGTCCGAAGAATGGAGTGCTGAAATTACATGCTGGTTGTCGGTTGTTGAATAGAAGTCAACGTTGCTGGATAGAATTCGATTATATAGCCCGTCAATATCAGTGACTGCGATGTCCATTAATTCGTGAGGGTATAAATGCTTCATACCAGCCATAAACAAACTGGCGCTCAGCTCCTCTTTATCCATGACCCCTAAAAAGTAATATATATATATATATTTTAATTCACTTTTTTACAATTCATATATCACTTCCATTTTTTTCAAAAATTGGCCAGGTGGGGCTCATAAGGGGGATTCAAAAGGCAATTTTTTTCTCATTTTATAGCGGATATCTGTCGAGCTTCTATAAAAACAGGAATAGATCAAAATATTTTGGAGGCTTGAAAAGACCCCCATCTAAGCAAAATATTCTTGCAAGTGACATTGACTGCGTTTGAATAACATCATCTTAAATTGCCTGAGAGGAAAAAAAGTTTTGAAATATTATGGCAGATCCAAGCAATTCAAGTTATATACCTTTAAGGTAATAAATGTCTAGAAAAAGCTCCGCCATGACTAGAATACAATCCAACACGTTCAGTACCACAATAAAAAGTAAAATGTTTTTGGAATGCAACAAGTGATGACCGGTGAACCTCAAGCTGTAAGAAATACATTTAATACAAAGTTCAACGTTTCATTCATGTATAGAAATTAAGTTCTGTGTAAAAGTCTTTATAATTTAAGCAATATTTTTTACCATTAACTTACCGCCTAAAGTTAAAAAGAAATGTTCACCTAAAATTTTTGAAACTGTTGAAAGTAGATTTAATTTCGAAAGCATTTTTTGATGAATGAGAATTAAATAAATATGTATAATTTACAAACCGTCCTATTTTGCAGTCCGGGGGCTTTCTGTTTTCCTTTTCTATTTCATTCTCCAGGAATTTCTCTGTCTTTAGGAGTTCAACATGGGCGCGGGCAAGTGCTAAGGACCCTGCTGCCAGAGCCCTCAGACCCTGCCCATTTCCTTTTCTTACAGAATTCCTTGACGGTAAACTCATGTTTATACTAACTTTCCAACATCTACAATCGAGGATAAATTAGGCTAAATTCTGAATCAGCTTTGTAACGCATCATTCGGGGTTTTATCTACGTCTACTCTTTCATAGGATTAGTAGTACCAAAAAAAAAACCATGGCGTAACAGCAAGGTTTGATAACAGAGTGTTTCAAATATAGAATCTTTCTTGTGTGAGTTTTAGAGTTGTTTATTTTCTTGGTTTTAGTTGTCTCATAAATCATTGTTTTGCTTTGCTTATGAACTCTGGATATCTTAACGGACTTTCGCTCAAAAGGAAAATCTTTTGTGATAATTCCCTTCACTGCATAATTATACATTTAATTGATCCAATGAAATAAAGGTGTAAAGTTTTCTGACCGTTTCAGAGTTCATGGACTTTTTGTTTGTTACTTTAGAAAGAACTCATTTCAATCAAATTTTGTAAATTTTGTTCCAAATTGAAATAAAATCTGCACAGGCTCCTTTGATGTATCGGTATTTAAAAAGTGATAAACTAGTATATATACATGCATTACAGTTGCTGATTCTGGGTTGATTGAGTGATTTTTAAAATACATTAAATATCAATGTTTACCAAGCTAAATATTGATAATACCGAGAGTTTTATTGTTTTATTATCATTATATAAAAATTATAAAATCAAACCACTACTCCCCGAAAATTACATTATATTCATTTATCTGAGGTATTTTTCCCAGTAAAATACCTAAAATTACTGCAGTAAATTGTTTTCGAATACAAATCGGTGTAGACAATTCGTATAAATGTGCTGAAAGTCATCATTATAATTTTCACAAAAGTGCACTGAACAGAATATTTACTTGATATCTCCGTTATCAATTATATTGTCCATCCAAAATAAACTTTTCAAAGACAACACGGTAATAAGCAAGCTCTGCCATGTCTAGTCCTTTTTCCATACTGAGTGAATATGATTCGATTTAATAATGAATTGTGCCAATATTGTTGAGAGGCCCAAGAGTGTAATGTGTTTTCAACACCAAGTAAACAACTAGATATATAGTTGTAACAGAGATCTATGAAACAAAAGTTATAAGGAGAGAGGTACATGTATGAAAAGAATACCCTTACCGTTTGCGTGGCTATATCTAAGTAGTACTTTGTTTCACAAATAAAATATGCATACGATGTGGGTTCTAAATAGCACCGAGAGTTCACGTCTGCAGCTGTAGGTAAAGAATACATTATATAAATTTCTGCTGTAGACACAAGGCTTAATTAATACAATGTTAACAACTCTATCATTTTACTTGGAAGCAGATTCTAAATTTAGGTGTTGGGGTATTATCCTATAAACTAGAACATTGCAATAATTACTCTCTGTAGTGTGGTTGCATCGTGAATTCTCTGATAAACAATTAAGTGCTACTTTAAATGTAAGCAATGTGAAGATCGGTTAAGACCGTAAAGGGACATGTATAATTACTTCAGCTGTACTGTTGTTTAGTGTAATAAAACAAATCCTTCTATGCTAAAACCTCTGCATAGTTTTTTGGTACAAAGTAAAATACTGTAAACCACCAATTATTCGCGACAACTTTAATTCGCGATCCTTCTATTTGAAGGAAACCGACTAGGAAACCTTTCTGAGTGTTAACTAAAATGAAAGGTTTCTTATAGTTCTAAGTCGTATACTGTATGTACAAAGATATAGCACATTTGGAAATTTTTACGGTTTGGAGAATTGTCTGGGTGAATTTTGACCCATCACAACTGGATGTTGATGAAATTAAATGTTTAAGAAATCAAGTAACCTTGCAGTAATTTGATGCAAGTTTGGAACATTATTGCATAAAAAGGATGGTGAACGGTTATGACAGTTTCCACATGTGTATACAGTATTTACTGTGAACACTAAGTTCATAAAATAATACCCCGCTCCCCGCGAAAAATGATAAGTCCATGTTTTGCTACGTGCCCAAAACATAAAATAGAAGGTGCACAATAGCACTTTGTAATAAAGATTCTGTAAAAGCCTCATTAAATTTTATTCATTGGTATAGGAGGAGTTATGGATAAGGGATGGGTACCTCAAAGTGTTGCGGACGTACGGAAGGACGTATACCACCATCACTATATACCTTCTGCTTTTCAAGCGGGGGTATAATTAAAAAAAAAATTCAGTTTAGCATTTTGTGTATCTTAAAATATTGTAACGGTATGTTAATTTTTTATCTTCTTTGGTAGTTTTATATATAAAAAGGAAATTTGCACTTTACTCTTTGTGTGTGTTCTGTGCTTCTATTTAGATAACTCAAAAAACTGGTAAAGTAATTTATGCGCATATGATTTTTTTTTTTATACTCTTATTTACATAATACAGAACACATGCACTAGTAAATTTTTTTCTTAATTTTCACCTTGAATTCTGACTGTCAGTGAATCGCTGACCTTTCCTCGCTACAAACAAGAACCTGGCGAGTACTATAAACTTAAAAAATACAAATAAAAATGCGTTAAAACTCGTATGACGAACTCTGTTTCACTGTGTTTTAGTTTGATTGAATTTGAATAACACTGTGTCTTCTACAGTTTGGTAAGAACAAAAATAAAATAACATTAATTACTTCAGGATTATACAGAGGGGAAAAAAGTTAATGAATCGAAAAGAAAATTTTAATTTGTATAAATGTACAGGCCACAGCCAAGTGTTTTCTTTTTCTCGTGTATAAGATTTTGAATAAATTCTTCCTATGAATACAAAAATAGGTCTGCTAATTACTGGGCGTAACTGGTACCGTTGGGAATTCCAACAGGTTGTTGCGAAGACCTGGCCTGGAGGTTATAAAACTTTCTGAGTATGTTCTCAGTGCTCAAACTCATACTCCGTACTCCAAAACCATACTCATGCTCAAAATTCCTCTCTAATTTGTATATAAATTTTGAGTTTGAGTAAGGTTTTAGAGAACGGAGTATGAGTTTGAGCACAGAGTACGTACTCAAAAAGTTTTATAACCTCCAGGCCAGGTCTCCAAAATCCACATAGATATTGTCAATCAAAAACTCAAGCATCTTTTTAATGTCAACTTCAGAGTACTTGTGTGTACTTTGCAAATGACCAATGACAACGTAAGTAAATTTACGAGTTCCATTTTTATTGAAAAAGCAGCTGTCAGTGATGTCAAAAGCCTGCACTTTAATTTAGCGTGGGGAATGGTTGTATATAGAGTTGAAAAGTCTTAAGTACTGATATTATTGTTTTGGTAAAATTCTGTGATTTCAAATTTTCCAAAAGTTTGAAGTATCCACCTCTGATTTACACCACTTCTGGAATATATTGTTGCACAGTACTCCTGAAGTTTCTCCTTCACTGCTATTAATTTTTAGTGAGGAGTAAAGAAAGGGGCTTGGTAGAACATTTACTGGAACCCGCTATGTATCTTTGTTTGTAAGGATTTTTATGAAGTTCGGAATCCAGTATAGTTATGGTAGAACTGATACCATCGGCAATCCTCAACTGACTATGTTTCATACAAACTTCGGATGTGATTGATGGAGGAATATGCATCAAATTGATGCATTTCTCCGCTGGCCGGACTTTCCTTTTAATTCATTTCGTATTTCGCACTGCATAAAGTTCACCCAAATGTCTAATGCTTCCTTGTACATTGGTTTTGATTTCAACCTTCTGCTAGTAGTATTTGTAAGTAGAAACCTAGTGTTGGACGTGCCACAAAGTAACTTAGATTTCAGAGGATGATATTTGGAGGAATTTTGGATTGGATCACATGATTGGTTGAACAGCGTTCATAGGGCAGGATTGTACTTATAGTTTGAAATTTGAGATAATCAAAAGATCCATTTTACATAATGTACATGTAATATACGTATAAAATCGATATCTGAAAACAATGTGACGATTGTTACATTTGAATAGCATATCATGTTGACAGTATGATTTTGTTGTATTGGTAGACAATGGCATCAGAAAGCACATACAAATAATACATATATCGTTGGTATTCAATTTATTCTGTGTGACTTTATTTTGTGATAAGTCGTATTAAGCTGAATAATATAAAAAATATCGATATAACGCTATCATATATGTCGGCATAATCAGGGGTTTTTTTTTATTTTTGTTATCGATATAATATATAATTTTTAAAAATACACTGAAACAACACTAATTTTATCATCTCTGGGTGTCGGTAACAGCGTAAAGCCTCGAAATCGATCATTTTTTTTTTTAAGTGTAGAAATTTATATCAGCCGAAAAGGTGTCTTCGTTTCTTATATGTATTGTAAGAAATTTCCCTCATCCGTCTTTCAGACTAACTTCAAAGACAACCGTGATGAAAACAAGAGTGTCTCGCGGGAATATAATAAGCTAAAATAAAGTTTTAAAAAATCACGACTAATCCAATTTTAATATCATCATGCTCTTAAACGTATAAAATAAAATAACTAAAAGTCTATAAATAAAAGTCTACGAATATATATATAAACCCATTATAAAGTACTCTTGGTCGCAGATAGACACCAAGCTTTCGAGTGTATATGCAAATTTGTTCCTTCATTGGAGTTTGCTTTTCAAACCCATTTTAAAAATCATGCAAAAATCACAATTAAGCAAACTATATAGATAGCTTTTCTACGACAATTACTCGTATTTCTTTTTATTCTACTTCCTAGATATGGTTTTCGTTGTTTGCACCGTTGGAGTCAGTGTTATTATTGGAGGCAGTGCTGTCTAAGGTGAAACTGCTTCCAAATGTACTGCTTGAAATCTGTCTCTGGATATTCTGTTTAGCGAAAGACGAAGCGAATCCCGCCAACCCTTTCTTTTTTGATTTGGAATCTGGATGGAGTGCTATGATAAGTGAAAACGGCAATGTGAATTTTTGAAAAAAAAAATCATACATTGAGGACATAAAAACCAACTTTGTGTTTGAGAAAATATGGTTTGTTACATTTGCACATTTTCCGAAGCATGTATCCGTGACGTTACATACCGTTAACAGCGTCGATGTGTTTTGCCGACACACCTGCTGAATAGGCAAGCTTTCGCATTGCTTCGAAACAAATCTGAAACGATAACGTTTTCTTTGGGAAAAAAAAGAACGTCAGTTCCACTCTCTAGTTAAACCTATTGTAACTTGAACGACATGACTCGACCTTTGAATAAAGTCATGACAAACCATATAGTCATCAGCAATTATAGACTTAAGTTTGAATTAAATATTATTCAACCATAAAATTAATGAAACAAGTCGATCACCGAGTTGTATTTTCAATACTATATTGGGTAAAGTTTCTGCAGACGTAAACATATCTGCGTTCATTGAACTTTAATTTAAGTTTTTATGATTGTTTAAAATAAATGAAGTCAGGCTGAATAAATCTATTAATCAAAATAAGGTTTATAAAGAGTTCTAGTCTGGGCTAGGGTTTAAAAGAAAAGCTAGGAGGGTCAGGTGACAGTAATGATCAAATGATTCCTGTTTTCTGTCTCTCTTTTTCTTTTTAATATTTTTCCCCTTTTTTCTTATTTGATGAAACGCATCATTACTTTTACTATATTAATTGTTTGTCATAAATTAATGAATAACTGTCTAATCTTTTGGCTTCATGATGTGATCAATCGATTGGCTTGCGTGATAATTTGACTAATTATATATAGATTCAAACGCCAAAGGCGTTTATGCATTAAATTTTCACGCAAGCCAATCGATTGATCATCGTCATGAAACCAAAAAATCTGACAGTTATTCCTTATATTTACATGCTCTTGATTCTGCAAAGTCACGTGCTACAAGCACCGCTTCTGTCTCTATTTGTCCCGCCCAGCACGTGATTTTTTTTCGCCACGCCTTTCGATGAACCAGTAGATTTATGTAGAAATAAAGTATTTTTACTATTTGAAATTTTATCTCGGACAAAGACATTAAAAATGTAAATATTTCCCTTTAAACTTTTTTTGCACGCCGGATCAGCAAAAGGTTTGGTTAAACAGATTACATTTATTTGATTAGAGGAATAATTGCTTTTATTCTTTGTCGTTTGTCCGTCTGTCTGACACAAAATCGTCCAAGGAGCATGGAATTGTTACCTTCGAATTGAATAAATTCAAACTTGGTATGTTACTTATTTCTCTGACCTTTAAGTGTATCATTCTTTTATTCAATGTCATACTTCAAAGATGAAGGTCACAGGGCAAGGATTTTTTATATCATTTATATATTTATTTTTGGTGAACTCATAATTTCGGAATAATAGACTGAAATCAGTGAAGCCTAGGTGGTGTTTAACATAACCGAAAGATGTTTCATTATCTTGAATCTATATATAATTAGTCCAGGGTCAATGACACTAGGCAAAAAGATTTTGATTTATTGTTTTTTTTTTTTATCATGATTAATTTGATTATTTATTTATGGTATTTTAAGAATTTTTAGATCATCCAATATGATCAATTGAAATTAATTCCTCTTCTCTCAGCTAATGCTGTTCCTTTTCTCCTACTAGTTCTGTTGTCATGTTGTAAATTTTGAATTTACCGGGTGGCAGTAAATACAAAATTTACAACATGACAACTTGTCATGTTGTAAATTTTGTATTTACTGCCACCCGGTAAATTCAAAATTTACAACATGACACTGTAATGAGCTTTGTCTCAAGTCTTTTGCAATATTAGCTGATAAAGTTTTATGTTTATAACATTACAATTTGTGAATAAATATGCTGAATGACGATCATACCTGTAAATCTTTAGCGTTTGCTTTTGCAGATTTAAGTTCGGCGGCAATTTGTTTCTTCTGTTTGTACATCAACTTCATCCGGAAGTGCTCATGGTCGATAACAGCCACAACCAGACCTGAAAAAGGGAAGTTAATCTGGTATTGCATGGTTTAATCATCATGCATACAGGAGACTAGTGCATAAGACAATCAAAGTTGAAAATATATTTTTCCAATGCCCGTTACGGTGAGCGGATGGACCAAAATCCCTTGATTTGTGAAGATAAGTTGAAAATATTTGACAGCAGAAACAGTAAATATTTTATTTATAATACTTTAATTCCTCATAAGAATTCAGGTTCTTATCTTGGTTTATTTATTCAATACCGCACTACTATTAAATTGCGATTTTGTAAATCTTAATATAATTGAATTCTACATGTATTTTAATCGAAATTTATTGTATATTTTCTATTAACAGTGTATTGAAATTGAAGAAATCGTCGAAAATTCTTGACATCAGATATATTCACAGGCCTCATCTTGACAGTTCAACTTCTTAAATAAATTTGTACACCATTTTCTGTCAATATCTCTTGCATTTGTCATTTTTATTAATTTACATGTATATTTCCACTTGCATCGATGTCATTTATTATCAATTACGGTTCGAAAAACGTGCTGCTTGTAAAAGAAGAAACTTACTGTTGACCACTCGGACAACTCGCCATGGCACTAAAAAGGCCAGAATAACGACAAACAACTGAACTTTGTATGCACTCAGCCCTTTGATGAAAACCAAGTCTACGATAAAAGACGCCACCACTATAAAACCGTCAAATACCTGAAATGAAAATAAAAATCATATCGTGTGCTTGATTTTACAGAGTGGTTAATGGAGGGTCAGAGACGTACCAAATATACCGTGCAGATGTAATCTAACAAATAAAAGTTCGATGTGACATAAAGGGTCAATGAACATTCAGGTTGATGCACAACCATATAATATTTTATCATAAGAACGTATAATTATGTAACTCACCTCGAGTTTGTTTTTGAAATACTCCTTTCCACTGCTGAACAGCTTTAGTACATTCTAGATGACAAATAAAATAAGGTATTGAACAGAAGTAGTACCCCAGTTTAAAGTTATTTCATTAATTATTAAAGAAATACGTCATTTAATTAGAAAAGTAAACTGTGCCAATTTGAAGTAAGCCTATCAGTCTCATGCAAATATCACAACACGAATTGCAATTTGTCAGAGCTGTTTTTGGACAGACCAGAAACTTTGCCGGAAGAAAAGTATTACAACAGAATCGAACATAAGACTATGAAGTACAAATGTCCGACAACCTACCTCCACAGCTAAAATTGCCAAAATAGCAATACTACAATAATGAAAATAGTGCGCCAAATCAACTTCGATTGAGTGATGATCAAAGACATGGTTCTCTACAATGTCACTTCCGGTTTTGTTGACATCATCCGGTGAATTTGCTGCTCTTTTCCGTCTTTCAGAATTTAGAGAAGATGCAAAAGTGGCGGTTGTTACATCCTTTGTCAATAACGTGGTCAACATAGGGATTGGTGTCGTTATGGTAACCGTTGTTTCCGTCACACTCCGAGGACTGTATGCACTGTTGAAGTCTACTTGAGCCGATAGGATCTTCCGGTGAAGATTGTCTAGTTCAGCATAGTCGTATTTGTAATCTTGTAGGGCGTCAGGATATTGACTTTTCATGTCGGTGACGAACTTGAGAGCTGCTGTTTCGTCGTGATCAACAACACCTAATATATCACAGTCGTAAATTTTATATTAGTCCAAATTTTTGGAAGTTAGTGGAATGAATCCAAAGTGCCTTAAATTCAAAAATAGGTTGAATGCATTGCATTGCAATAAAGGTATGACCTTCTAACAAAGCAAATCATTTTCACTTTTCATGACTTACATTTCAAATCCTAATATGATACATCCAATATATATACAATATATCACATGAAAGTTGCATAAATTAATGATTTTTTTTATATATCAACCAAGGAAAGGTCATGAATATAAAAGAGACCCGGATGTAGACTGATAAATTTATTGCACATGTACAAAGAACACGCGCCTTTGTCCCTCGATTACCTTTGAGGTAATAGATATCCAGTATAAGTTCCCCCATCACTAGAATGCAGTCCAAAATATTGAGAAGTACGATAGTCAGAAGGACCCATTTGGTGTGCATCAACTTTTCTCCCTTGTATCGAATTCTTAAAATACAAAAATATAATATTAAAAATTACTTAAAGTAATTAGTTAAGTACATATGACCAGACCTAATATCATTAATTAAAACCAGTATTATTATACATGAGAAATGGTATTTTTATTAATTTCGTCAAATTTGTTACGTTTTGAAACAGTAGTGTCCTCATATAAGTAATGCAATCGTGTTGAAACTGAATAAGACATGGTATTTTTTTTTAGTTCTTTCTTTCACTTTTTGTATCCTATTTTATTCAAACAATTTAATCTTACTTTCCAAGTTTTGATTTTGGCGGTTTTCTGTTTTCTCGCTCTATTTCGTGTTCTAAACTCCTTTCAGTTTCATTCAGGACGGCATGCGCTCTTGCGAAAGAAAGTGATCCCTCTGCAAGTGCCTAGGATTTTCATAATACAGATTAAAGAGTCTGGGAAAATGTACCCCCCCCCTTCCCATAAAAGTAAAATAAAGATTTACTCTATAGTCAATTAATCATTGAAATAAGATTTTACGTGCAGTCCTCTGGAATTTTTTCTCTTTCTCTCGCCAAGAAGCCCCATCTTTGCCTAGGAGAAAAATCATTAAGAGTGTCAACTAAATTTTGCTGATATCCATTTCTTATCATACATTGACCAAAGTTTATGGCCTGGAAACAGCTTAGAATTTATTTAAAATTGTAGGTATGCAAGCTTTGATATCTTTTGTTAGAACCCAGAGTCTTACAAATTTATTCCACTGCTTAAATTTAATGTGTTATACAATAGTTTATTGACCCCATAAACGTGTATTACAAGTACATAAATTTTGTCAAACACTAAAAAATATATAAATAGCGCAAAGTTCAACTTTATGTTGGTCGCAAAGATATTACAAACGTAAAAAGAAAAAGAAAAAAACACTGAAAAGTAAGACAATTTAGAAATCTAATATATTGAAATTATAGTCACAACATTTTTACAAGATCAAGACAAGGTCAAAAACATTACGGAGCGAATCTTCAAGATGTAGTATTCGGCAAAAATAAGTAATTTGTTACAGAGTAGACTTTGAAACTAAGTTTGAACAACCAATATAACTGAAGCGGAAACTTTGCGGAATTGTATAATGAACAACCATTTAGTTGACCACGGCGTTTTAATAGAATTATTTTATCAAAATCGATCAATTTACATTTGTACCACATCATATCCTAAGGGTAAAAATCTAGGAGCGTTACCATCGTACACAAATCTGACATAAATGTTCCATTATTTATTCGTTCAAAGACTGTGGCCTTTCTTCTCGGACAAGGTCTGACGACCATTTTAAAATTAACTTCGGGTTTGACAAGTTATACATGAATACAGTAATTTTGAATGGTAAAACTGGTGGTCAATTCTGAAGTCTGTATAAAATATCCTTGGTGTTTTACGCATTGGATATTGTACTTAATATTTCTATTTATTCTATGAATTTTAACCCGTGGACTAAAATTAACAGGATTCATTTTTCAAGCATAAAAAAATCCATGAAAGTACAAAATGTGGTAGAATTGCAATATAACAAATACCCAACGTTTCTGATCGCAATCTGTTGATACATTTTTGAAGCGTTTTCTGTCTAGATGTCGTCACGACTCTGCTAGTAAATTTAATTTTGAATTTCAAGTAGCTACCACTTAAAATCTTTTATTAGTCCCCTACCGGTGAAACCGGAGGGGACTATAGGTTTCCTCTGAGTATGTCCGTCCGTCTGTCCGTCCGTCGTGCTGTCCCTCTGTCAGTCTGTCCACTTGGTTTTCCGCACTTTTTTTCTAAACGCTTGCAGATATTGAGCTGGTTTTTGGTATGTAAGTGTATCCTGATGAGTTACAGATCAACTTTGCATTTAGTTCCGCTTCAATGAATTTTGACGGAATTACGACCTTTTCAATTTTTCAGGAGTTTCCGCAATTTTTTTTCTAAACGCTTGCAGATATTGAGCTGATTTTTGATGTGTGACTTTACAGGTGAAAATAAATCCTGTTTTTGAAAATAAACCAATCATTTTTTTGTATAATAATATTCTTTAGTGTATCAGTTCTAAATATTTCACAGGGATTCTGACATGTAAGATGTTTAGCCGACTTCCCGATGGTATGGGAGATAACTCTTGCATAGCAAAATTTATTTTAAAATGTTTATTGTGCAAGAAAATTACTATTGAAAATATTTTTCCCACTGATTTTATTTTTTAAATTGAAAGATGAAATATTTCTTGAATTAGTTTGGAGTGAATTAAGATTTGTTGAAAATGTATTAGAATTTACAGTTCTTTGTTTCCGACCTACATTAAATGGTTTATATTGGGGAATTCAAGAACACAAAACAAAACGATATTTTAGTAAATAAGCTATTTTCAAACAAATCTTCAATTGCATTATTCCATATGGACTAAATTAATATCATAAAACTGGTACTAACTACGGACCAAGTGTCATCGCTATTCTAGTGCTAATCGCAACAAAGAATTTCGATTTTAGCTGAGCTTTTATATTTTTGAAGTGTTGGAAAGAAATGCCTTTCCACAAATTTTACTTTAAATTTGTGGAAGGGACAGAAATTCCCCACGAGATTCAGTCTCAGACAGGGTATTTTTTTCATCTGCAGACTGAAATTTGTAAACTGGTAAATACACCCCTAATTAAATTCGATATTTCTTTAGATCCAATTTACGTATTTGAAATTTTAAAAAAATCATTAAAAAAATTTAAAACTCTAAAATTTTATTCAATTAGCAGGGTAATTTTTATTTTTTTTATTTTTTTTTTAGAAAAAAGATCTCGGAGAATCGGTTTTAAACACATTTAATGAATAAAGAGAGATTACATTAAGATAATTAAAGTCTTTAATCCAAAGTTTACAAACTTCATAGTCCTTTTTTTCAAATAATTAAATATAATCGGAGTAAACTAACCAATACACACCAGTTTGACTTTATGGAGCTTTATTTACGAAAGTTCGATTTTAATTCTATGCGAAAGAATTGATTTTAAAAATGATGCATATTGAATTATGTTTTGCATAGTCTAAAAAACACCCTGTGGTGGTAATGTCATCCTTTCCTACACAATTCTTTGCGAAGAATTAAAAAAAAAAGCAGATTATTTTATCTTACCTTTCCAAATACCAGCTGAAGAATAAAGCTGCGACGTGTTCAGTTTCCGTGACAACTATAGTATCCTTAATGCTCAAATTCAGTCAACCAAAAAAATACACCAAATAAGACGATAATTTAAACGAACCATGCACCACCGAATCCTTTCCCCAAGGTGAGGAGGTGGCTCCTCTCACCATCTCCACCACCAATGAAAATGAGCAATGTTAAAGAGAAATAAAATCTATTTTATCATCCACGATTAAATGAACTTATTCAGACATTCTATACACATATAATCAAAACCAGTACCAAATGGACTTGTAATATTCCCCAACCGCATCCCCATCCCCACTCCTTATGGGGGTTAGATCATACTGAAAATCCCTGCTTGTGCAAAAATTAATTTATACACAATTTATTTTAAAATGTTTATTTCATTTATATTCAAGGACGTCTATCCTACCTGTTTAGAACGTTAACACCCCATTACATGGCATAAAAGGTCAGTTACTGTCATTTATAGATTTAAGTGAAAAGGCGTGAGAAAGATCAAGATATAACAACACGATGTTTATAGAAGTGACACCTTATAAGGCAACTAGTAAAAGTACTTCAGATCTGTTTGTTTTTCTTTGTTCTTCACAATCACAAATGGAATGGAATTAATAATCAGTTAGTAATAAACTTTTTTAAGATATCGAATTTTTATATTTCCATAAACATGATTGTTTATCATTTTAAAATGAAATTACATGTATATCCGTTTTCTTTGTTTTGCCGCTCCTGTGTTTTGCACTGTGTAAAACTAGAAATCATCATAGGAATAATGAGACAATTTTCTATCTTTCTTTATTTTTACAAAATTTTTATCGAATATGTAATTTTAAAAAAAAATGTTTTCGAGCGCACGCGAGTCCATCTGATTTTCACATATACTTTCTTAGTGCATCAGGTATTAAGATATAGCAGAAAAACTATAGTTCGAGCAGTTCGCTTTTCTAGTAGGAAATATTCGCTCCTCAGCCAGGAACAATAACTCTTAAAATCATTGTTTAATTGAATAAGCCTAGTCTAAAAATAAAGCTTGAAATTGAATATTTTTAAAACATTTTTTTTTTTTATTTTATGCATCTTTACATGATTCAGTGTTCTTTGAAGTCTTTGAAACTGTCATGTAAAAAGTAGACATTTTGTCCCCAGATAAGAGCACAAACAAGTATACACTGACAAAAGATCAGAGATACTGAAGTTGTAGAAAGTTAAGCTGTAGATAGCAAAACAAGGTCGTATGGACTATACCTTAAAATTGAAAAAAAGAAAAATTTTGTAATTTCTGCATCATTTCTTAAAATGATTCCCGTTCCGAAGAAGTCGTAACGGTTATTATGCCCTCGTAATCGAAGATTCAGGGGCATATAGTTTTTGCCCTGTCCGTCCGTCTGTCTAGCTGTCTGTCTGTCTGTCTGTTTGTCAACAAAAACTTTAACCTTGCCCATATCTTTTGATTGGTTGGAGCTATGGCTTTCAATTTTACATGGTATTCCTTGTGACAAGACCTTTCTTTGGGTACCATAAAATTTGACCTTTGAGTTTGACCCACTTTTGCAATATTTTTTCAGACTTTAACCTTGGCCATAACTTTTGAATAGTTAGTGCTAGGGCTTTCAAACTTCACATGTGTATACCTTGTGACAAGACCTTTCTTCAGATACCAACAACTTTGACATTTTGTCCTTGACCTTGGAGTTTGACCTACTTTTGAAAAAACGTTAACCTTCGCCATAACTTTTGAATCTTTGGTGCTAGGGCTTTCATACTTCACATATGTAATCGTTGTCACAAGACCTTCCTTTGGCTACCAACAACTTTGACATTTTGACCTTGACCTTGGAGTTTGACCTACTTTGCAAAACTTTAACCTTGGCCATAACTTTTGTACAGTTAGTGCTAGGGCTTTCTCACTTCACATATGTAATCGTTGTGACAAGTCCTTCCTTTAAATACCAACAACTTTGATCCTTTGACCTTGACCTTGGAGTTTGACCTTCTTTTGCAAACTTTAACCTTGGCTATAACTTTCGAACGGTTGGTGCTAGGGCTTTCATACTTCATATATGTAATCGTTGTCACAAGACCTTTCTTTTCATATACCAAGAACTTTGACCCTTTCACCTGGAGTTTGACCAACTTTTGCAAAACTTTAACTTTGGCCATAACTTTTGAACGGTTGGTGCCAGGGCTTTCATATTTCACATGTGTATTTCTTGTAAGAAGGCCTTTCCTTGGGCACCATTAATTTTGACCATTTGAACTTGACCTTGATGTTTGACTTACTTTTGAAAAACTCTAACCCTTTCCATATCTATTCAATGGTTGCTGCTAGGGTTTTCATATTTCAAAGGTATATTCCTTATTTTGGGTACCAACATATTTGATTTGTATT